AAGATATACATATACAAGAACATATTACCTGGATATTATGTGAGAGAAAATATTTTAAAATTCAAGTATCGTGTATTACCTCAGTATGGAACTCTACTATATGAGAGATGTTCACTCCGCCAAGTTTCCTTACGCAATAATGCCTATTTCAATATTCCAGTTCATACAACATCTAAATTCAAAAAATGTTTTACTTACACAGCACCATATCTACTGAACGATCATTTAGAACTTTTTGAGGCACCTTCCATCCCAAACTTCAGAAATGAAATGGAAAAAGTGCTACTACAGCTGCAAAGATTTGAATCCACAAATTAAATTTATGGCGCTTGCTACACTACCCTCCATTAACACTCAGATTATATCGTATTATATACTGTGTTGTGCATAATATTTGTTGTGAATACTAATCATTCTGTTGATCTTAAAAAACGCTCATGAAGTTAACTTTTTAGGGGGAGGTGAAAAATGGCCCTGCCAATCCTCTTTCCTTTTGGAATGTTGTCGTTTTTATATTTTTATGTATATACATTCCAATAAAAATTATTATTATTATTATTATTATTAAGGTCAGTCGATTGTGTGAGGTAATAATATATAGTGTACAAGTACCTACGTATCAAGAGCTCTTATTAATCAGTTATCAGATATTGTTGGCAGACAGTCGAGACTTCTTTCTCGAATAGCCTAAATAGGGCACTAATGCTTCTGACATTTTTTTATGAGATTAAATTACATGGGAAATTATACTAGCACTTGTTTCGAGGGAGTGGGAAGTATAGAGTCAATCTACCTGACTGGACTTGACTACAATGTGAAGACAACTTTCGAAATGGAATGGTTGGACTAATATGTTGCGCTTGGTCCGAGGCTTGGTCTGCTATAAGTGCTTTGACAGAGTTGTTTAAGCTTTCCGCTGTTGCTAACTTTCTGGCTGTAACATGTACTTCACTAGAATTTGGCTATGAATTTGAATTATACGTTAAACTGACTGACTGAGCTACCTCGTCGACGTACAGAGCAATCAATTAACGCGTTCGTTATACAAAACTTTATCCCGGCATTTCACTGAATGCCTGCACCATATTTCAAAAACTACTCGACGATATTTAGGAAGTTGCCTTCGCAGAACGTCACCGGGCGGCGTCCTGTTGAAAACTTTGGCCCTTTCTTAGAAAATTAAGATCCCTTTTTATCCCACCGAAAAGTCCCCGAGCTGGCGTAAAAGCAGGTTACATCCATTTTTACTTTTTGTCGTCGCTGGTCTGAAACGGAACGGCTCCTTTTTTGCGTTCCGCCAAATTATCTATGCGGAACACAAAAGCAGATTAATGAGGGCACTCGTTATACTTGAAATTGGGTGTCTTTCAGAAAATAAAGTGAAAGGAGAACTCGAAGTGCTTATCGGAAGGAAGACAATTTAAGTAGCTACTTTACTAATATCTCCCCAACCCAAGATAAAGAAACTGCTTCGATGGGCCCGTAAACTTCAAGCAGCTTGCTTAATATTAGTCGTTGCATTATTGGGCATATAAACGAGCAATGTTTTTGTAGTAATATTTGGCTATAAGTATGGCAATTATAGTCCAGTCATCATGACCGTATTGCAGCCCGGCTATATTATTTCGGCTGTAGTAACTTTATCTCAGATATATTTTGGCAACGTAGTCTGCAGTGTAAAGGATTTTCATAATTTAATATTAATTTATTTATTTATTTTATTTATTTATACTCTACCCAACAGCTACAAAGCCAATTACAGAGTAGGACAAAGTCCAAATATCAAAAATACACAATATCTTACATATTACACACAAATGTAGGAAGTTCAATCACAAGGATACTATATACAAATATTTACATAAATGGCAGTGTAGATAAAAAATTAAATAGCAAATAGCAGACAAGACATCATAAGGAACCACGCAGCAGACAAGACATGAGAGAAATATATCTAATTGATCCGCAATGTCATTCGCTTTACCACATGAGCTATACAATGGAGAAAACTTTAAAATATTTGTTCCAGGGGTAGGCAAATAGAAGGTATTGCATTGTCTAGCATTCAAACGCGGGACAAGGAAATTAAAATCATGCAATATATTGCAACAATTAATACGATTGTGCAATATATCAGTCACGAACTTAACACTGCACTTATCACGCGTCTCCCTAAGACTTTGAAAATCGAAAGCCTCTTCTAAAGACTCTTGTGGATAGCCAATCGGTGGGTAGATGCCATTTTCCTTAAAGTAAAGGTACTTCAAAAAACGCCGTTGGATATTTTCGAGTTTGTCTATCCAGAAGCAGTAGGAGGGCTGCCAAATAATTGCTTCGAACTTACAAGTGAGTTATATAGAAGCTTAATTGTTTTAATATCCTGCAACTCGCAACCACAGCGTATGATGAAGCCCAACTTTTTGAAACTCTCTGCAATAATTGAATCCATATGACCATTGAAGCAATATTTACTGTTGAAAATGACACCTAAATCCTTTATTTCATGCAATCGAGTAAGGGGCACGCCACCAATATCATAGCCAAATATGATCGACTGTGTCTTCTTCGTATAACTGACCACATTGCACTTCTCAGCATTCAATGGCAAACTATTTTCCTGACTCGAGCAGTTGAGCATGTTTACGTTATGCTGTAACGTTTCACAGTCAGTTAGAGATTGAATGGGACAGCGAAGCTTCAGGTCATCCGCATATAATAGAAAAGTGACATTCAATTGTAGTTCAATGTAATTTATAAAAATAATGAAAAATAAAGGTCCCAGAACAGACCCCTGGGGAACACCTGATGCAATTTTATAAGTGTTAGATTTAAAACCATTGTGCGAAACAATAGATACTCTATTTGACAAATAAGATTTAACAAGCAGGAGAAGATGGCCAATGACACCAAGGTCAGCTAAATTGTTAAGAAGAATGCCGTGATCTACTCAGTCAAAGGCCTTTGAGAAATCAGTATAACTGACGTCCACTTCAGTACGAGAATCTATATTTCCAGATATATACTGAGCAGTGCAGAATAAGTTTGTCACATTTGATCGTTTTTTCATGAAGCCATGCTGTTGAGTTGTTAAAGTATTATGCACATGCCAGTAAACTGCATCATATATAAGACTCAAAAACCTTTGAAAAGTTGTTAATTATCGTGATTTGTCTATAATTCTCAATATCGCTCTTGTTATCCTTATTTTTAAAAACAGGACACACTTTTGAAACTTTCCAAGATGATGGATATTTACCATTTTGCAGCGATAAATTGAATGTCGTTGCTAAAGGCTTCGCAAATACAGATGCACAGTCTTTCAATATAAAAGCCGGAATGCCATCTGGACCAGAAGTTAATTTAGGCTTCAGTCTTCGCAAGGCATCATAAACTTCATTCACATTAAATTCAGTCACTGTTAAAGGACTACTTCCAGTTGACTGAGTGGAGTTGGTTTTGCCACTTGAGCTAGCAATAAAATATTTACTGAAAAAGTCAGCAAAGCTGTTTAGAATATCTTGAGGCTCACGTATATCCAAACCGTTATAAGTCATATTCTTAGATATAGAGCCATGACCTCTTCTGCTGTTGACAAATGACCAAAACTTTGACGGGTCTCGCTTTATATCATCTTCAGATTTTTTTACATGGTCTTTATAAGCAATATCGATATCCTTTTTAATTTTGAGTCTCAAAGCTTTGTAATCATGCAAGGTGATTTCATCAGAATTTAACTTTATCCTTCTAAACAGTATCTCCTTAGTTCTGATATCCTTTATTATGGTACCATTAAACCAAGGCGGGAATTGTCTACGGCATCTGCTGGTGGAGTACTTTGGGACACACAAAGAAAAAATTACATTCAATGCAGCATAAAATTGTTCACACGCGTCCTCAACATCATGAATTCTATGGAGAAAGTTCCAAATGGTGCAGAATAGTTGATCTTACAATAAAGAGATATTAGATTTTCTGAAGTTGAAAGAATTAGGCACCATTCTGTCAAATTGAATTTCTTGCTTGAGAAGCAATTCATTAATGGAGACAACTACCGCCGGGTGATGATGATCCTCCATCAGTATGAGGATCGCTGCATTTATCAACACTACACATGAAATGGCATAAAACAATATCTAAAAGTCTCATGTTAGAATTGAAAACGTAATTATATTGCTCAAGAGAATAAAAGATGCAAAAGTTGAGCAAACTACTAACCACAGTAGATTCCTCACCACTTAGCACGTATGACGCATAACTAGAAATATTAAAATCACCCAGAATCAAAATATTGGTATCATGCAAGGAATGAATTGCACAGATTGATTCAGAAATAGTTTCATATGTAGAAAGAGGTTCCGTAGGTGGGATATACAACACCAAAATGCATAAACTTGTTTTGCCAAATACAGTTTTTACTCCAAGAATATCCACAGCAGGTAAGTTACACTGCACATCCAAACAGACTGAGAAAAATTTATCCGTTATTGCCAAAAGTACGCCACATCCACGTGTTTTGTTGACAAGAGAAAAATTTCTGTACACATTGTAGTTCTGGTTAAATAATTCAGAATTATTAACTGAAGAGTCCAACCAGGTCTCAGATAGGACATAGCAATCAAAATCAGCTGCACACGTGCCATTGCAGGAAGCAGAAGTTTTAGTTCTCAGGCCTTCCATTTTGATAATAAACAGAGAGCTCTGGAGAGTTTTTTGAAGAAGTTGTGGGTTCCAAGGTGCAAGAACTAGAGTCTGAGGCAATTGGTTGCTATTTTATACTTAACAGATTAGTACAAACGTTAAGCTCGCCTTTGCTTCGTCGAAAAACGCAGTTGATACACTTCAAAGTAGCAGACTTGCAATCCCTGACAGCGTGATTTTCCCCACATCTCGGGCACGAGCGCTCTTTCTTACATAATTTAGAAGAATGACTAAATCCATTGCAGTTGAAACAACGAGATACTTGCACAGCATCAAAAATTCTACAGCAGTCTAAACCAATGTTATCTGCCTGCCTTCAGCATATTCACATATGAGGTTTTGTCTACTTGAACAACAGCCTGATATTTTGCATTATCGCGTTTGAAAGGAAGAATTTTTATTATTTTACAATCATTCGGATTACTAATAAGTACATCATTCATATTGATTAATTGATTGCGCAGGTGTTCAGCAGAATGTTCCGAGGCCATACCAATAATACGAACCCTTGGATTGACACCACCAATATCTTTGACATCATAGGACCCAACCATTTTTTCTTGGACTAATTTCTTCAGTTTGAGATTGCCCTCAGCACTCTTACAGCCAATGAGGACGCCATCATCTTTGACGTGTTTTATCTTGGATATATGAATTTCATCAGCAACTAAATTCACGTTCTGTAGAATATCAGTCTTCGTTTTTGACGTATCTTGTGCTTCTTTAGGCTTAACTATGACAGCAGGAACCGTCTTATTCCTTAAGACACTGGCATATGAGATCGGTTTGTTAACACTTGAAGCACCAGGATTCTGCATAACAGCTTGTTCAACAGTCGACTTAAGTTCATTAATCTGTACGACAATCGAATCCAAGGCATGACTAATTTTGCTTTCAACAAGTTGAACAAGATCTGTATCCTCTATAGAAACATCAGAAGAAAGACAGTCATTACACCTCCAAGACAGCCCAGGAATCTGTTTGATAAGTGTAGGTAAGTCCACCGTACCAGCATAAACACAAGAAACATGTACCACTTTTTGGCACGGTCCACCGCAAAAAATGGACGCTTGTTTCCGGGAAACAGCTGTTTCACATATTAGGCAGATGAGAGTCATTCTAAATTCTAATAATTCAGCTGTTTACCTCACTGCAACCAGCTAACAATACCTCGGCTACAACTAAACACACCCAAAAAACACAAAGAACTCGCACTTTTCACAGAGACGATACGTGATACGTTAAACCTTGCTTGCAATATTTGAGGAGATATAATAATAATAATAATAATAATAATAATAACAATAATAATAATAATAATTATTATTATTATTAACAATAATAATAATAATAATAATAATAATAATAATAATAATAATAATAATAATAATAATAATAATAATATCCGTGTGGGGTTTTGGAGAAAGAATAGCCCCACGGTATACCCTACCTGTCGTAAAAGGCGACTAAAAGGGTAACCGAACGTGCCCGGTATAAGGCTATCATTATTCAGTAACGGAGGAAATGCTGTTGCTTGCCGTTTGTCAGCATAAACGGCTTCGGTGGGTTTGGCCGCCAAAGCTGGCAGCCCCAGCACCAAACAACCTTAATGGAGACCAGCTATCTCCATTGAGTGTGTTACCTGCTATGGAAACAAGAAGTAGTGGTAAACAGGGCGCAGGTGTAGTGAGGGCTCCTACCCTTCGGAAGCGTCAGGAAGATGAGCCTGTAGCGGGGCCCAGTGGATTGTGTGGCACTGCCTCGCGAAAGGATTCCACACAGAGGCAAGTCCTGGACAAGAGAAGGGATGATACACCGCAACTTCGTGATAGTCACCACACGGAGGAAACTCAAAGTGGACTACTCGAAGTACTGGAAACAAGTATCTCAGCCGAAAAGACCAGGGGTAAAAGAATACCCTGGAGTGAAGAAGAGTTGAGAGAAGTGATGTGGTGTTATCATTACTGTAGGCTTACTGATAGGAATACCTATGTTGCAGTCTATAAGATGTGGAGAAGGCGCAACCCAGACTCCAGACTTAACATCGATGCAAACAAACTGCAAAACCAAAGAAGGTACATCCAACAGAATAAAAGGTTATCAGAAGAAATCATAAATGAACTGATTGAAAGCATTAAAGAAACGATCGATAGAGAAAAGACAGTAGACCATCACGATGTCGCACAGGTACCGGAAGAACATGTTGAAGAATCTGACATGCACAAAGAAATAAAGGACAAATATCTAAGCCTGATTGAAAAAAGCATATCTGAACGTGACTGTCTGCCCAGAATATATACTAGTAAAAGAGCAAAGCGACTCATCGAGGAAGGCAACTGCATAGTTAGCAACATATTGCAAACAATGGGACAGAAAGACCTAATAAAGATAGATTGCCTCATTTATGCTACAGCATATGTGATTACATCAAAATTAGTAAAACCGACAGCGCGAAGAAGAATAGCTGGGACCCCAAGGCAAACGCCTAACTGGCAGAGGCGGCTAAGTAATAAAGTTTTGAGCCTCAGGAGACTTATCGAATTTAGTTCACATACAAAATGGCAGGCTGTCCGCAGAGTCGGCTAAAGGGAAGATGCTGTTAAACAAATACGTCACAGAAGGAAAAACGCTAATAGAGAAGATAGAGGTAATGAAACAACAAATCTCGGCCACTGCTCAGAGACTCAGAAGGTACAAGAATCGACAAGAGCAGCACAAACAAAATAGTCTCTTTAATGTCAATCCCAAAGCATTTTATAGGGAGCTGCGAGAAGGAAAAAGGGAACCTATTGAAGCTCCAGCCATCTCTACAACTGAAACGTATTGGAAAAGTATTTTCGAGAAAAGTGTTAACCACAACGAGAACGCAAAGTGGCTGAAAAAGGTAGAAAGGGATAGAGCCACAACTATGAGCTGGCAAAATATCAGTGTCGTGGAAGTCAGATCAGCACTGCAGCAGGCCCAAAATTGGAAAGCCCCTGGTATAGACCAGATACCTAATTTCTGGCTGAAACATCTAGTGTCTACACACGAAACAATAACAATGATATATAATAGTTACTTCGATAATGGAACAGATATCCCGAACTGGCTGCCAAAGGGTAAAACATACCTTCTTCCAAAGTCTGGAGATAGTAAGGACCCCAAAAATTACAGGCCCATCACCTGTCTGAACACCTTGTACAAATTGTTAACTAAAGTAATAGCCAGCAGAATATCTGATTATGTAAATGATAATAAGATAATACCAACTGAACAAAAAGGCTGTGGCAAGGGCTCTTTTGGTTGCAAGGATCAGCTACTCCTCTCGAAAGCCATTGTAGAAGATTGTAAAGAGAACAAAAAAAATCTTAGCATTGGATGGATTGATTATAGAAAGGCATTCGACAGCGTCCCGCACAGCTGGCTCCTGAAATCTCTGAAGCTTATAGGAACATCTGAGAAGATCATTGATCTATGTAAGCGATTGATTTCGCTATGGAGTACTACCCTGTTAGTCAGTAATAATGGGGAAGAAATAGAGTTAGGACCCATACAGATAAAAAGAGGTATATATCAAGGTGATACCTTGTCACCTCTTCTGTTTGTGATTGCGATGGTTCCTTTAAGTACGCTGCTCAACGAGGCCAACCTAGGTTACCAACTTAAAGGAGCAAATGATTGTCTCTCCCATTTGCTATATATGGATGACCTGAAGCTCATATCTCCCAGCCAAAACAAACTGAAAACGTCTCTCAATATTGTAAAAAAATTTAGCGACGACATACAGATGAGCTTCGGTCTCGATAAGTGCGCTGTAGTCACTTTCAGACTCTGCTAATATAATGGTTGATGAAGGACAGACGATCAAATCACTAGAACATGGCGAAGTGTACAAGTACCTGGGAATTAAAGAAGGCCCACACATCACCCACGATTCACTGAAAGTTGATATTAGACATGAGTATATAACGAGAGTACGTAAAATTCTGCAAACTCAACTCACGTCTAGAAACAAGATAACAGCAATTGGAGCTCTTGCCATACCAATCATGCAGTACAGCTTTGGTATAATCAATTGGACATTGGATGACATAAGACAAATGGATCGCAAAACAAGAAAACTAATGACAACACATAACATCCTTCATCCCAAAGCAGACATCGACAGATTATACGTGCCACGAAAGAAAGGGGGACGAGGACTAAAGCAAATAGAAGAAACGTACAACAATACTATCTTCTCAGTAGGGCAGTATATTCAAACCAGATCTGAGCAAGACCGCCTACTACAGATGTTACTAGCACATGACAATAGGAAACCAACAAATAGATCTATTGTAAAGCGTAGTAATAAGATCAAATTAGAAGCTGCGGAAGCCGGACATACGGTCGAGCGAGGTAACAGGTCCATCAAACTGTACTTGAAGCAATGTGTCGAAGAGAAATGGCGGAGTAAGCCTCTACACGGACAGCATATCCGTCAAATGGAGGAGCTTCCGGTTGACTTAAGACTGTCATTTGGATGGTTACAATACGGAGATTTTAAAGGGGAAACCGAAAGCTTGCTGGTGGCAGCACAAGACCAAGCCTTGAAAACGCGTTACATTGAGCAAGCAATACACAAGACGAGGAATGACGGTAAATGCAGATTGTGTCACATTCACAATGAAACTGTTGAACATATAATGTCTGCATGTCCAATACTAGCGCCAAAAGAATATACTGACAGGCACAATAATGTCTGCACAGCCATCCATCTAGAAGTGTCTCGCCACCTTGGTTGTCCAATAAAATCGACGAAATGGTATGAGCATCACCCCGACAGAATAACACGTAGTGAAGATGGTAGTATCACAATAATGTATGACCATCCCGTTATCACGGATAGAGAAATAAAAGCAAACAGACCAGATATTGTTATAAAAACCACCGAAATATGCTATATAATTGATATATCAGTACCTGCAGATAGACATGTCATACAAAAGGAGGCTGAAAAGCAACTAAAATACCATTACTCATAGAAGTGCAAAGAATGTGGCATACAAAGGCAGTTGTTATTCCCGTAGTGATTGGTTCAACTGGATATGTCACTCGCAACATCCTAGATAACCTAAAAAGGATACCAGGAGATCATAATTTCTATCAGTTACAGAAGATCGCCTTATTAGGCACATCGCACATAATTAGGAAAGTTATAACATAACCAGCTCATAAACTACAAAGATCTGTACCCCTCAGGTCCTCGGCGAGGACCCGGTGTAGAGGTCAAACCGTTCCATATAAGATACCGCTACTAATAGAAAACGGTCCTGTAGCGTGAAAAAAGAGAAAAAAAAATAATAATAATAATAATAATAATAATAATAATCGCTCAGCGTGAATACGTTACACGACACGACAGAGTTGCCAAGATCTTGCACCACTCAATCTGCAAAGATTTCGATATTGACGTTAAACAGCGTTGGTATGATCATGAACCACAGCAGGTCGTAGCTGCAACTAATGTCACCATTCTTTGGAATCAGCCTATAATAACAGACCGAACAATTGCTGCCAACAAACCGGACATCGTTATCAAAGACCATAAAAGTAAGTTATGCACTATAATTGATGTTGCAGTACCATCAGATTACAACGTGAAAGACAAAAAGGCTGAAAAGTTTCTAAAGTACCGGAATCTGTCTATTGAGATAAACAGAATGTGGCAAATGCGTACGCACATAGTACCAATTATAATAGGTTCCACAGGTGCCGTGTCTAAGAATTTTGACTCACATGTAAAGGCAATCTCAGGTACCTTAAACCCTTACCAACTTGAAACTGTAGCCATATTCGGTACAGCCCACATTATTAGAAAGGTCATAACGTAACGCCTAACCTAAGGGGTAAGGCATACCCCCGGTTTTGACGAAGAAAGTAATCCAGCCACCAACAATCAAGAGCTGAGAAATTTAAAAGAAATACGTAATAATAATAATATTAATAATAATAATAATAATAATAACAATAATAATAATAATTAATAATAATAATAATAATAACCTGGCCTATCTGACGAAACATCTACGTCTACCGCTCTAATAAGAAAACAGAGGCTATAGTGGACTAGGGAGCAATGTGAGGACATAATATG